AAAAACATGGTAATTTCATACAATTTTATTTATGTGTGTTTTACGTTGCAACTGTGATGATATTCATGTTATATCACAGTTATACACATGCTCTCAAGCCGACAATTCTTGGGCAAAGCGATTGAATCTCACATTTCTTGGTGGTATGTTTAGCAGGAAAAGGCCCTGTTGCATACTGGGAGTAATTTATTTTTTTTTTTTTTATTTATCTTAAACGAGGTTTAAATTTTATTTTATTTATAATTTTTGTTATTATTATTATTTTATATTTTTATTTATAATAATAATAATGTTCCCACAATATGAAAATAATTTTATTTTGCATTTTTTCTTTTGCTGCAAAGAATCCCGATTAACATACTACATTTTCCTCTATGCGCCGTGTCCCTTCAGGGCATGGGCGATCATGGTTCTCCACAATTTCCTCTTTTGTAGCCACAAGTAAGGGTTGTCTTTTATCTTGTCGGAGTTACCTCCTCCTTCGCTCCTTAAACTAAGAGAACAGGTCATTTCGACCTTGACCTCTCATTCATGCTCCCTATACACTGTAAACCTGTGGTAGGGACTAGCAAAGTTACCTTTTTGTTAAGTTATATTACAAACCTAGTTGTAATATACTTCTAGACATTTTAGGCCTTAGTTCTCTTTAGCTAACCTAGACGTATTTTTTTATAGAGACTTTACTGTTTAGGTTATCCAATTCTCTTGCTGGTCTCCCTTACCACAAGACAGTGACTTCTCTCACTAAATTCGAGGTTTGATCCCGACTTGAAATATCTCGCCCTGGCCTTCGTGGCCAGGGACTTCCGATCAATGCCCGTATGATTTTTTACCTTTTCCCATTTTTTTTGTCTGCCAACTTGACGATAGTTTGAATTTTGTTTCAATGGGCAGAATACAGTGGTCTCCCTGCCTGTTTGAGGGTTGGACGGGCCCTACTAACATCAGTTAACGTTTAATTTCATTTATGTTAATATTTTAGTTCGTTATTGGAGGTTACTATCTCCACCCCCCTCGGATTTTTTTTTTTTTGGCAAACACGCAATTTTGTACATATGTGTTAGGATCATTAAATGCCCGATGACATGGGCCGCTTTTGTGTGTTCCCAACACGTGGATGTGGTATTATTTGGATAATTGAAATATGACGGACGAGTTTTTTATTGAATTATCGCAGGTTTCTGAATGGGTCGTGAATAAAAATTAAATAGGTATAAGATAGTTAAAGAACAGAATTTTAAATTTCCCTTTTCGGCCGAAAGAAAATTTTGTATTTTTTACAAAATTCTGTTCATGTGATTTCGTAATTCCGCTTTGGTGTATTTATCGAGTTTTGATATTCAAGGAAAGTTAATGGCCATTTATGAGATTCGATAAATACTAAAACATAGTTTATTTTAATAATAGCCCGGATGCTTTAAGAAAATTCCATGACCAGCGTTGACGTTCACGGCTCGGACCAGCTTGGACTTTTCTTTATTACCAGTTTTGGACCTTTTGGCCCTTTTGGAAACACTCGGATCTGGGCTTTTCTTTAAACCGACCTTGTGTCACATCCTGACATATTGGAGTCGTCAAATACCTCAGCGACTGAATCCGGTCGGATACTTTAGGTATAACTGGCCGGAGGCCAGAACGTCGACACCCGGTCTGCGATAAGGTTACGCTCCCATTTTTAAATATATATTTGACGATAGTTGAAATTTATTTTTCTCTATATAAAACAAAGTTTAAACTCCTTTTGGCCCTGTAAAACATCTTCGGCATTCCGTCAGCACTGGCTGCCTGCACGTCGTCTCTTAACTTTCCTGTCACTTTGTAACTAATTATTAAATGTTGGTTTTTACTATCTCTATCAAACCCGAGCGGCAAACCAGAGTCAACGCCTGCACTGGACCCGATGACATTCCCGAACCTTGATTTAATGTTCTGTGTATCAAGTTTTTTTCAAGCCCTCGACCAACATTCAAACTGCAACAACCAACAGTCGATCATCTCGGCAACGACCATTTTCAACTGCAGCAATCGTTGCAACGACCAGTTTGGACCATGGTACTGACCAGCATCCTTCGATCATCAGTTTTTTGCGGCATCAAGTCTCAACTTTATCAGATTGTCCAGATAAGAGGACTGACCATTGCATGACAGTTCAGCGATCTTTTCTTTGTTTCAATGACCATTTTCCCTATTTCTTAATCATCTTTGTTTAGACTTTTGCAAACCAACAGCGATCACCAATGACCAACCTCGTTAAATCAATTCCTATATATTAGAAATTCTGCACCTTTACCTTTTCCGACCACCTTTATTTCTTTTCTAGAATAAATTTTCATATATGTTATATATCCTCGATTTTGTCGTCCATGTAATTTGTAATTTGCATGTTTTAACGTTCCGAAAATGTTAGCGGGCCAATCATGATCAATCACCCTTTTGAAATTGATCACGGTTCCTTCTTCTACAATCTTATAGAATCGTCAATGTTTTGTTTCCTCACCTGTGTTAAAATAGGTTTGGGATTAATGAATCACACTTTGAAAATCAACAAACAATTTTAGAACTTAAATTGTTATATGGTATATATTTTCAAAATGTGAATCCATGGTGAAAATGTATGTTTTATGCCAGGCCATTGGGAATTCACTTGGGTTTCAAAAAATCCAAAAAAAAAACAATTTTCAGTCCAATTCAAAAAAAAGACCTCCATTTTTTATGTATGAAATGCCCATCAACTGTCACGCCAATCAGTCTGTATCTCTCTCTATCGTGGATCAAACTTCTGTGGCTTACTATACTTTCAAAGTGCGCTTTCTTAGGATCAAACAAGTACCGCTTAACAGATCAAACCATTTTTCTCAAGCAGATAAATAGTAAGTTCGCTTTGAACAACTTTGAATATTTATATAAACACCTTACGAACAGTACTTTAACGATTCAACTGTCAACACGAACTTTTTTTTGTACGTGATCAAACAAACAGTTTTTCTGTGATTAAATCTAATCTTTTATTCAAACCAATTGTCGGTAAACATTCACCAAGAACACAATCTGTTAAACTGCCTCGGATCAGAGATTTATCCGCCAAACTTAAACCATTAGAATATTAAATTGTATATGTTCTTTGATGTTGTTCTCATCATTCAAGCGATCTTGTTTTCAACTTTATTTGCAGACAAGAAGTATTTGTTCTAAATAATTGTTGGGACGAATGTTGTAGAACACTTCCTCGAAATTCCAAAATGATCAATTTAAATATTTTCACCAGTCTGACCATTTATTTTTTAAAACCTATTGTTGCGTCCATTTAACTAACCAAGCTCATTAGATATGTAATTAGTATTTGTTCCCTCTTGAACATGTCCAATATGTAAAAGTTTTAAATTCTCAAGTCATTTATCATTATTTGCAATAAAATTTTCAACAAAACATTTTGATGCCAACGTATAAGTGTTTTTTTTGTTTGAAAATTTTCCTAAAGCACGAAACGTTGCTCACATATTCAATCCATATTTTCAGCAACCTTATATATATATATACTTATATTGCCTCAAGTCTCCCTTTCATAAAATGATAGATTGTCAAGCAGTTTTATTTAAATTTTTTATAAAACCAATATTACTAAAACGAGATCAGTCTCTTTTTCTTTGTTTCTAAAAAAAAATTTTTGTTTCTGACTTGGAAAGAACTTTTTTTTAAATCTTTTCCTATTCGTTTATGTTTTTTAATTTTGTTTCGCATTTAGTTAACCATAAAACGGAATTCCCAGAATTTCATTTTTTTGTACTCTGGATTTTGATGTAATCCAATAAAAAAAAAGCATCTTGGAAATCTTGAATTTGTGACATTCAAACATTGTGTCTTCTTGCAAGTGATTTTCAGTCGATGCAACGTTGCTTTGTTTTACTTTATCGCTATATCCATAAAATGTTAGAAAAATATATTATTTATTTTTTACGATTATTCATTTTATGTAGGATGTTTCGATAAACCTCCTGTTGATTTTCCCTCTTTCAAAATCCTTTCATGTTAATCTCGCTTGTGATCAAACCTTTTCCATTTGGACACATGAAAGTTTAATTTTGAAAATGGAAAAGAATAAACTCAAAATTTCGACGTTAAAAATCTTCCTTATCAGATAATTAAGTCAACAGAACACCTCTTAACTCAAGAAGACCTGTTTCTATTCATCATCTAAATTTCGCGGGTAATCAACCTTTCGGCCCCGCAGTGGTTGGTGAGCTTTGTATTGGTAACAACTAAGTGAAAATGTAAATCGGTAAATGTTTCTTCAGACATGTATGTGCGATCAACCGCTACCCGCTTTACCACCATTATGCAATGAACTGGGAAGGTATGTTCGATTTTCCATGTTACGCATCACTTAGGATGGCCAAATTGCAAACTAAGAAATCTCCCATCCGATATGATGGACAAAATTTCTGATTTCGTCCGATTTGCGTATGTTACGAATGTAACTGCAACATCGGAAAATGGACGATCCTCAATTTATCCGTTCGAGATTTTTGGTTGATTATACGGAACATAGACCAGCTTTGAAAAGACGCCAACCCAGCTTCTCATCGGCTTATAGGAACCTGGATGGGAAAGCTTTCTGATTCGTTGGAAAATTCTTCGAGTTCTTTTGCCTGTCGCGTTTGCCCAAATCAGTCTATTTTCAGATTATCGCCTCAATGACGAGAGCCACGCCTCTGGATTGATTTTGATCAGCACAATTTCTGCTGACCAAGTTTCAGAATTGTTTTGTTTATTCGTTAAAGAAATATTAGAAATAATGACACAGAAAAGTGCTGAACTGAACGGTGCCGAATGAAACAGAACGGGCGTTTCATGACCTGCAAAGACAAATTCGAGAAACCCAGCTTTCTCTGCGCCCCGACAAGAAAAAACCGACCCCATCTCGACAAGAACGGAGATCCGAGCCCCCAGCCGAGAACGGCGAAGCGACCATGGCATTTGTTGGTTTCATCGCCAATTTGGCGATGGAGCCAGGAATTCTCGATCCTCCATACACACCCGTCGGTTCCCGGGGAGAATATAAACCGCAACATTGGCGACAACTAACTCATCGGTCCCAACACGCAATGTCGTCTATTCTACGTTTGGGATCGCCGGAACAAACTGAAATTCTTAGTAGACACAGGTGCGGCCATCAGTGTGATACCATATCAAGAACGACCATACTTTTCTAAGCCCACCCTGCTCAAACTACAAGCTGCGAATGGTTCCGCGATAGACACGTACGGAGAAAGGACCCTCACCCTGAACATCGGCATGCGACGTGATTTCACCTGGACATTCACCGTTGCCAACGTGAAAATACCCATCCTCGGCGCGGATTTCCTGGCGCATTACGAACTGGCAGTCTATATGAACCCGAGGACCCTATTCGACACGACTACGAACCTCCACGTCTTTGGAACGCCTACACGTCAAAGCTCCACAGGAATCAGCGTCGCAACATGCCATGGTCGCGATTACTTGGATCTCCTGAAGTTCAGATATGCTGCCATTCAAAACCGCTGATTTAGGTGACCACCAAACTCAGCACCACATCAGGACTAGAGGTCCTCCCACATTCTCCCCACCCGCGACGACTCGCTCCACACAAACTCGCGTACGCCAAGGAACAATTCGACAAAATGCTGAATGGCGGCATCATTCGTCCTTCCGATAGCCCTTACGCTTCACGACTGCACTTAGTGCTCAAAGCTGGTGGCAAGGAATTTCGGATATGCGTCGACTACAGAAAATTGAATGCATCGACCGTACCAGACCGATACCCTGTTCCTCATATCCACGATTTTGCGTCCGGACTGGAGGATACCGAATCTTTTGAAAATCAACCTGACGAAGGCATACCATCAGATCCCCGTGGCTCCGGAAGACGACGACGGCAGTCACAACAATATTTGGCTTATATGAATTCTTAAAAATGCCATTCGGTTTACGAAACGCTGTCCAGACCTTCTAACGTCTTATGGATGAGGTCCTGCGCGGACTACGGCACGTATACGCGTACATCGACGACATCTTGGTGACCAGTAAAGACGTCGATTCTCACAGGCAACACCTGCGAGAAGTATTTCAGCGACTACGGCCTGAAGTTGAATCTGGACAAGTGCGTTTTCAGGGCGCCCAGTGTCGATTTTCTCGGGCACCACACCGACGAAAACAGCATTGCACCTCTGCCCGACAAGATCTGCTCGATCCAGGATTTTCCAACGCCGACGTTAAACAATTGCGACGTTTTATCGGGATGATCAATTTTATCGATGATTCATCCCGAATTGCGCTACTATTCTCCAGCCCCTGCCGAACCTGCTGCAGAGAAAGAATAAGGACATCACGTTGGAGGGAGATGCCCTGCATGCATTCCACACGGCAAAGACTGTATTGACAAATTTCACTAGGCTTTCGTATATTAACGACGGTCCGAACGCGACTGTTCCTGACAACCGACACATCGGACGCAGGAGTGGGCGCGGTGGTTGAGCAGGAATTCAATTCCCAACGCAAACCCATCGCGTTCTTTTCGGCTAAGCTTTCGCCAGCCCAGAGGAAATACAGCACCTTCTCTCGAAGCTGCTGGCCATTTACCTGGCCGTTAAACATTTTCAGGCACCAACTGGAAGGTCGAGATTTTACCATCTATACCGACCACAAACCGTTGACGACGGCGATGAGTACCAGCTCTGATAACTACACAGCCCGTGAGATCCGGCATCTCGACTACCTGTCACAGTTTTCGACCGACATCCGTCATGTAAAGGGAAAGTACAACGTGGTCGCAGACACGTTGTCTCGAACAGAAATTCATTCTCTTCCGACCGACGTCTTGGGTCAGGATTCGATAGCCGCTGAACAAAATCCGACTCAATGCTGCAAGACATGCTTTCAAACACTTCCTTAAAGCTTCGGGAGTTCTCAGCATTCTTCAGCAACGACACCCTATACTCCGATATCAGCCTAGCCAACCCTAGGCCCTACATCCCCCGACTCTTCGATGAAAGGCGTTTCAACGTTCTACACGGGCTGTCTCATCCGAGTAAAGCGAGCGACGGTCAAACTCATTACCGACCGATTTGTTTGGCCGAATATGAATGCGGACATCCGAGAATGGGTTTTGACGTGCTTGGAATGCCAGAGATGTAAGGTCCATCGACACTAAATCCCCTGTTGGCAACTTCAGCAATCCCGATGCACGGTTCTCACACATACACGTCAATTTAGTGGGACCGCTGCCGATATGTCGGGATTACCAGTATCTTCTGCCGGTTGTGGATCGTTTTTTCGCGGTGGCCGACCGCCATACCTATAAAAGACACTTCTGCAAGCACCGTCTCCAAGACCATCCTGAGGGAGCGGATCGGAACTTTCGGCACGCCTCAAGTCATCACGACCGACCGGGGGGGCACAATTCCAGTCGTCCCTTTTCGGAAGTTTACCAACCTACTTGGTGCCAAGACATATCAAAACGACCGCTTATCATCGTGCACCGAGGCTTTGTTGAGAGATTTCATCGGTCTCTAAAACCTCCCTGGCCACTTGACCTGGCACGACGAATTGGGTTGATGACCTACCTTTGATTCTTCTCGCCTTGAGGAATAGCGTCGACTTAGGTTGTTCACCCGCCGAACTAGTTTTTGGTACACCTCTTGCGCTGTTGGTGAATATTTCAACGACTCCTTGAGACGGTTTTAAATTAACAAAACCTTTCGTCGAGGACTCCGCCATAAAATGGCTCGACTAAAATATACACCTCCGCGATAGCATCCGACGAATTCATACATCCCTCAACGGCTGCGGGATTGCGAATTCGTTTTCATTCGGAACGACGCCGTGAGACGACCACTCACACCGGCATATCAAGGTCCATTTCCAGGTTCTTCGGCGCACCGACATGCACCTTACGATCAGGCGTGCCAACACCACCGACACCGTCGCAATCGATCGGACCAAGCCATTCTTTCTGGAGAAGCAACAGTTCGACGCAAACCCGGCTCCGCGGACCCCTAACGCTACTCCAGCGCACCCGGCACACGCAGCACCGCAAACATCAGACGACACCCCAGCGACTCCTGTGCAGCAGACCAAATCCGGTAGGAGGGTCACTTTCCCGAAAGACCCTCATTATTATTAATTGATATGATAAATTCACTAGGGGAAGGGGCTTGTCGCGGCCGCCATTAGCCGATCCTTAGAAAGACGACTTTGACCTTCACTACCCCTGATCTCGCAGATTTAAGCCCAGCAGCAGGCGAGAAACTGGACGACTGGCCAATATGGTGGACTCCAAAACCGTACCTCATGAGCATCGGATTAGGCAGCGCTTTCCAAACATCGAACGACATGGGGAGTAATTTTATATCTACGGTTTGCTACTCCCTCTAGCCAGAGAGTACTTGAACAAATCGCTCCACATATTATTAGCCCCTTTTTTTCGACCAAATCGGAGCTGCTCGGCCTGGGCGCATGGAATGTAGTACGCTACCTTTGTGAGCTTCCGGTGTTTTATCGAGAGAATGCTCTTCGGCGCGATCCCGTCTCCGCGGTCGATCCGTCCTGGAAGACGTATCACCACTCTAACCAGCTTCGTTAAGTGTTACACTTCGGCGTGATCCCGTCTCCGCGGTTGATCCGCCCTGTGAAGTCGTATCACTATTCTGACTCGGCCCTGTTTAGGGACTCCGCCTTCGTCAAGTGCTACACTTCGGCGCGATGCCGCGATTGATCCGCCCTAGAAGTCGTATCACTTTTCTGACTCGGCCCTGTTTAGGGACTCGTCCTAACCGATACCACGAATCTTCGGGCGACATCGATCAACCTGCTGCTGTTCCCGACAATTCTCCCATCTGGCAGTTGACCAGGTACAGCCGCCGACCAACTCTACATTCGTTTCGCCGACACGACCGAAATCAACTACCCCTGAAAATAAAAAGAGTCATACCGAACCCGACACCGATACAAACATATTTCTCCAGAAACATTCTTGTACATTTTGAATAAATGTTTTTCTAAAAAAAAGCAAACAAAAAAAACAAAAAAAACAACTAAAGTATCAATCAATACGCAACGTTTTTTTCACAAGCTACGAGGGCGATATTTACTTGCGTATTTTATTTTCTTTTCTTTAGAGTTCACAGTTCAAATGTCCATAAAGAAAAGAAATACAGTTCATATTTGAGTTCTTTCTGAGAAGAAAAAAATACATAATTTTCAATTTTTTCTCTGGATAGCTGAAAAATAAAAGGTGTTTAAACTTTTTATTTACTTGAAGGTAATTCCCTTCAGCGGCTCTGTGGAGATTTGGCTAATTTACTGGTGATGATGTCTTCTCTCTGGTGTCTCCTTCACTTTCAACTGGACCAGCTCGGAGGCAACCATTTTGTCTGTACTTCACATTTGGCTGTAGGATATTTTCAATGTTGTTTTGAAAGGAAAAACATATATATATAACCTTGTTCTCTGTGAAAATTCTGTCATCTATACCTGGGTTTAAAATCTTGAATTGATGTCATCAACATAAGCCAACTTCAAGAAGAGAAAAACTTCTTCGAATCAACTTCTCATAAAATATATCTCTTTCCCCTCCGGAGAAACTACGAAATAAGTAGCGACATTTTTATTTAGTCTCAGACTAAATAAATTCGGAATATAAAAATTCCTTCTTATTACCACTGAATGGTATAAATAATGAAATTGCTTTCAACTTAGAACTTGTCTCAAGTTCTTAATTTTCAAAAAATTTCTTCCATTTCAAAATAAAAAATATACGTCGTTCAAAACAATAGAGAATTTTCTTGGACACCCAGCTCTCACGGGGCCCCAATCCTTTCTGTCTAAAAACGCACGTATTTCGTCAGACATCCAAGGAGTGTCTGCGCAGTCAAAAAACCAGTAACATTTAATCAATCAGAAGATGACATGACCAGATAGTAGCAGCAAATAACCATTACTAAAAATAAATTTCTTTTACAAAAATAGAACATTTATGCACATTTATAAAAAGAAACTCTAATTTACACAAATTATTAAAAATAAAATACCGATCTGTTTTCAACGTATTTTTCTTAAAATAATTTTTTTAAAATAGGCGTGAGTGAAGAAATTATTAGGCACAAATAATTTCGGGCCCTATTCAACAATTTGTGCTACTTATAGCCGCACGAGCAAAATACATTTTTAGCAGAATTAGTGAAATTATCTAACGAACTTATGCTTTTGGTAATTAACAACGCATCGGCGTTACAACACTCAAGTAAAGAGAAAAGTACCAAAATAGTACCTTTTGCGGAAAATCAAAATAGTAGACCAGTGGCTAAGATCTTTTCACCCAAAAGCCAAAAGTATGTAGAGCACATATCTACTACGCTGAATAGGCTAGAACAGGTAAACCACGGCGTAAACGGAAACAAAATGTCCAAATATCACAAAATTCTCGTCGCGCCTCTCCTAGCCCTAAACTAGTTGAGCTGATAACACTAGGTCCATCAAGTCCGCCACTTTTAAGAGTCTGCCTCTCAAACTTTCCAAAGTCTTCTTCTGATAAAAAAATACTTAAAAGAAACCAGAATTCATGGGAGAAATCTTCTTCTGCAAATATGCTATCTGCTGCTTCCACCGATTCAAAGACTTCAAAATCCTAATCCCATACAAGACTTGCTGAATCATCTTAAAACGCATGCTAATAGCCGAATGACCCGATATGCGTCTTTGCAATTGTAGGAATACACTTCCCTATGAGATTTGTTTTGTGATCATACCCCCACCCACGTATTGGACGCTCCTAGAGGCACAGAGAGTTTGGCAGTTACAAGGACCAGACGATATTGAGAAGTCCCGAGAACATAAAGGTGAACTTCACCCACTTAACCGTGCACCCTACCTCTCTGCCGAGTAGAGAATTCTCTACAATGAGTACAAACACCTTGTGAGTAATAAGTTAATAATTTAACCTATTGTTTGTTGTGTCTTTTTGTTTTATTGTGATGATAAAGGTTGTAAAAGTAATTGGCATCCTCTCTTCTTCTTAGTACTTCCTTATTTTTTTGTTTGAGAGCTTCTCGAGGTACGGAGCAGTTATGTCTAAAACACCCCCAACATAAGAACTCGTAGGTTGCAACAGACAAGTCTTCATCCAAAAATAAAGATATATCCAGAAGATTCTATCAAGTATTTTTTTTGTAACTTTCTTCCATAGTGGGTATATAAAACATTAATCCCCAAATCACTGACTTCCTGTGACAAAGTATGTCTTAGGGTTGATTATCTTTATAAGCGCCCTACACGGGGCCCTACAAAGTACTAACACGGTCAACAAAAATATCATGATTGATATGAACAATGTATCTACACAAGTAAGAAGTTATAAGTATCAATTAGGTTTCAAAACTTTATAAAGGGCCTACTAAAGATAAAATAAATTTCAGTAAAACAAATAAAGCAAACAAAAATGAGTCAACAGTAGTCAACAAGAAACTCAGAAATAACAATAAGTAGTTAAATTAAAAAAAGGTAAAAACTAAGGTAGGAAGAAAAATTAGGTGGAAGAAAAATAATGACTACTATTTCTTTTTACTTACTAGCTCCGCTTTTTGGTGGGGGACTATTTAAAGGGAGTACCGATAAAATAAAATATTATTTATATTAATTATTTTATCAGTTCGTTTTAAACTTTTATCATATGTCCTACTTTTCAGTTAAATCATCACCAAGAACTCTCACACAATGTGACAGTGATTAATGTAAACCACACCAACTTCTGTAGAACTTCCTTTCGCAAAAATTCAGTTAAAAATAAAAAAAGTAAATGAATTATAGGAAAATATATCTTTCTTTTTGAAAGTACAGACCTCTATTTCTTTAGAAAATAGACTTTTAAAAGTTTTTTTTTTTTTTTTTTTTTAGGGATGTTGATTTTTTCAATATAAGTTTTTTTAATCAATGCTAATCTGGACCGCTTTTATAAAAAATAGCGTTAACTTTTTTCTCGCGACGAAGAACTCGGTCCATATGAAAACGAAATTCTCCTTATTCTTACTTTATTTAATAATTCCGATCATAATCCAAAAAACTTATCTCCCAACCTTTGGTTAATTAACTGGATTAAATAAACCTTTTTTGCTTGTTTGGCTTCACTGTAAAATATTCAGTCAGATGTGCCATGCGTGATACACGCTTGGCTTAGGCGATCGTGTATCTTTCGATACATGACTGATGAGGCAGATATTTTCCCGCAGTAGGTTGCCATTTCTTTCTGCAGTAGACCAGTTGCCATCCAAGGCTATAGAACTCGGTCTGTCCTGCTATAAAACTCAATTTAATTTAACAGAATATTTACTTTACTGTAGTGTAAATTAAATAAATTGAACATTCGATGTCACAAAGTCGAGGTCCATTGTAAATTGAACGTTCGTAAACTGACACTTCATTCGTTCCACTTTAAAACTTTCATTTTCTTGAATAGGAAAAGTGTCGCAAAGAACAAAAGTTTTTTTTTTTATAAAGAGTAGGTCAACAAAGTACAACAGAAAAAATCGACAATGATACTTTATTTAATTTAATCGAATCTGTTTTTGAGTGTAAAAAGATATTCACAATTTCAGTTCACAGTACACAAACTACATTGTAAAAAATGTATTTGAATGTCATTTAAATTTATTTTACAGTATCATCTATTTTTGTGTGATACCAACACGTACTGCACATTGTTTTTAAACTTATTTTTTTCAGATCGATCATTTAACTAATTTAATTAATTGGGATACATACGAGAAGAGCATAAAGCAGTGTTGTAGGTCATTCATAACTGAATGAATTATTAGACAAAAACAATTTGTTCCTGAAAAAATAGATTAAAAACTAAAAAGACATTGGTTAGGTAGGATTTATTTACATATGTTTTTAAATACAAATTACTACAGTGTAACCTGGATATAAGAGACCCGGATATAAGAGAGATTTTCTCTGGTCCCAAATTAGAGCCTGTGTTTAAATGTATATAAAATAGACCAAATCCGGATATAAGAGAAACCCGGATATAAGAGACTTCTTCTCCGGTCCCGACAACTCTTTTATATCCGGGTTACACTGACAGGCTCAAAAAAAAAAAAGAGAGATCTTTGTTTGAATATGTGTTTTCTTAAGACTTCTTACTTAGTATCAACAAGTTCTCGACAGAACGACAGCCGTGTAATCAAAACTTATTTTAATTTTTTATAGTTTTTTATTTTTATTTTTTGCTTTAAATTTAAAAGATAAATTCTGTTTTTTTACAGTTACACTTATGGCACATTCATTGTATTGTGATTATTAAGTTTTAATAAAGAAACAAACATGTCAAGCAAGTGTATTTGTGTGCTAAAAAAATGTATTCTTGGGTATGTGTACGA